TAACCCAGGTTACAGATTTAACCCCGGTTACTGAAACAGGATCAGTGACACAGAGCTAAACTACAAACGTATCTGCTTGATAAAATACACACAGTTACCAGTTTATTAGTCAGCAGCCATTAAATAAATCTTATCTCTATGAGGGTTATAATGTTTGTTTGTTTTTTCTATTTTACTATTTCAGAGAGGTGTTGGTTCAACTTTATGGTTTATTGTAGTTTGTGTTGCAATATAATGAGAGGTGTGTCTAGTATTTGTTTTACCCTCAGTGGTAGAAACACCTGTTTGAAACACCTCAGTGCTGCAAACTACAGTCTCCAAAATGACCCCAAAGTTGAATCGACGCCTCTGTGCTGCAAAAAGGGATTTATTGTATTTGACTGTGTTATTCTTTTAGCTAGGTGTACCTAATAAACCGGCAACTGAATGTTTAGTGCTAATTATAAACTCTGGTCTCTGTCTTCTTGCAAATAAATGTAGGTTATTTATTCTAGTTTCTTGTTCTGTTTTAAATACACAGCTGAATCATATTGTCAGAATGACTATTTTAGTAGAGAAATGGTTAATACAAGTTTTAAGCAAAGCAAAATTGGGCATTTAATTAATTAAATAGATGTTTAACATCTAGAACAATATGTCAGGTTGTTCTTTTTTGATGGTGACAGAATGTCTGATGCACCATTTTATACAAATTCAAATTTTTAAACTTTTGGATTTCCACTAGAATTTAATATGTAAGTGTGTATATTTAAGTTTATGTGTGATATACTATGTATACTTGACGAGCAGATACAGTACTGGTGGTGTAACCTTTTCTTCTTTTGTTTGTTGTTTACATGTGTGTGACTGATGGATGTATGAAGACTGAGCAGACATTCTTCATGCTAAGATTGTCTAATATGTAAAGGTGTTTTGTATCTTTTAACTGTGTACAGCCTATAAGAACAGTTGCAGTTGCATCATATGTAAATTATTCAAATTCACGATAATAATACACAACGATATATCTTCATCTGTATTTTGAAGTCTCTTTTAATAAGCATAGGTTTGTCTTTTAAAGATGACTAATAACAAGTAGAACACAAGGCTGTTCAACCACATGTGCGTGTTTGTGTGTATGATTCCTCATGAGTTTACTTTGCTGCTGTAAACAAAAAAGCTTAGCAAGTGTTGCAACACCAGTGAGATCTCTTGAGTCCTCGAAGGAAGAAATGTTGGTAAGAAAACATCAGCAGGTAAAGAACATACATTTACAGTAATTTATGAATGGAAAGAAAGAATAAAAAGTCTGTTAAAGCTGCCTTTGTAGCAAAACTCTCCACAGTATTTAAAATTGCAATAAAAACACATCACATTTCTTTAGATTGTATCTGAATTGTACTCCCTCACTCGTCTTCCTCAGCCTGTGAAGACAGATAAACAAATCTTCCTCCGTTGTGTCTTCCAGTGACTGAAATGAGGCAGCAGTTCAGAGTGTAACAGCAGTTGTTTTGTCCAAATGATCCTAAATTTGAGCCTCAGTGTACTTCACGTAACGCTCATTTCTCCTCCACAGCCGTCCTCCTGCTGCCAGGAGGCCACGCTGATGGCCTGGCCCAGAGAAGTGATGAGGGAGGTCAGACCGATGAGGTAGCCGTCCTCTCTGCTCCCCTCGGCCCACGGGACGTTGTGCTGGAGCTCGCTTGCCTCGGGCATGGGGGTTGTCTTCCCAAAGTCTATCATCCACACGTTGGCCTTGCTGCTGTGGTCGTGGACAAAGAGGAGCGAGCTGCCAATCACCTGACACGGTCAAACACATGTGGATTCATTATAAGAATGTGAATTTCAATAAAGTGAACACAATCTGGTTCAGCAAAAAGACCTCTGGGCTCAATATGGTCTAATTCTTTTCAGACCCCTCTTCAGCTGCTGTTTCTAGTCCATGTTTTTCACCTTCAGTAAATATTATTTATAGTATTTAACAAGGTAAGATTTGTCTCTTGAGTAAACACACCTCATGGGTTCTGAAAAACAGTGAACTCTTCAGTGCATCGCTCAGGGCCAGGAGTCTGGAGTGGTACGCTTTCTGGGAACACAGATGGAGAGAGTTGAGGTTGAGCAGCAACAAATAATGCAGTGGATCTCATCTAGTATCACCTTGTGACCCATCTTTATATAATTCATTAGGTTGTTTATTTTTATAGAATTCAAGTCTAGTAAATGTATTTTTCAAATAGGCTAGTAAACATATACAATGTTGTCATTGCTTTTTTTAACATCTAAAATATATTTTCATTCATGCCATCAGTACACATTACTTTAATAATAAACTGAGTATGAACATAACTTATTACTTAAATGTGTTTATAAACAAAACAAATTAGGCTTACAAAATGCATTGTTTTCACTTTTACATTTGTGGAAGCTTTCTGATGTCTGACTTTTATTTGGACCAAACACTTTGAGATCCATTCCCAACGAGTAGGACACGACCCACCCGTTGAGAAAGTGTGAAACAGTGCACGCACCAAAGGATAACAGATTAGTGTAATACATTGAAATTAACAAATTACTGTTAGTTGAAATTAGGGAAATAAAGAAAATTAGGTGAATGAGAAAGTATTTTTTTCTGTTTTTGTTTTATTTTGTTTAAGTACTTCATAAGTACTTGTTGATTTAGTTTTTATTTCATTGATTATGTATTGGAAGCTGAATATAATAATCTAATCTAATATAATAATATAATAATCTGTAATTTCCCAGCTTGGGATCAATAAAGTATATCTATCTATCTATATGGTCCAATTATTTCTTCACTCTGCCCACAGGGCAACACCTGGAGACATACTGAAACTGAACAAACAGCTACTGTTTTTGTTTGGTTTAGTCATTGATTTCTTGTTTTTGTTCTAGATCAGTTTTCTTACAAATCATGATTTGATTTAGGACATGTTCTCTAGAGGAAGAGTGGTGTAATAGTAATGACAGAACTGACCAGGATTTCCAGCTGACTCCTGGTGAAGTAGAGCAACGCCTCTGTGACCTGTGCTAAAGTCTGAATTTTCCTGAAGTCCCGCTGGACGCTGCCATCCTCCATCTGACTCACAGAGAAAGAAACACAACAGCATGGATGAGGCACATTTAAAAAACCTGTAGAGAACCCAACAGTTCAGGTAAATGGGTACTTTTGTGTAACATGAGGTGTGCACTGATATCACTGTTTTTTACTCTACCATGACGCCCTCTATCCTGAAGCCCAGCTTGGACGTAGAACTGGTTGTATCCCTCCACTGAAGGTATCGCCATTTGGTCACCGCTTTCTGTTCGTGTTCCTCTGCTGATAGAGCCGATGGGTCTATTTTCATCATCTTCTGGTACATGTCACTCCTCAGGGGGGCCTTGACCCGGGCTTTGGTCAGTTCATCCTCCTGGTATGTCCTGAGAAGGAAATTTATAAGACTTCTGTGAATTACATCCTCACATCCTCAAGATCAGATGAAATCCATGCCTTGAAGTAATATTTTATCTTTTACACTGATGTACTCAAAGGCAATAATTAAGGATCTGTAGGTAAAAGGGTGCATGTAAGGTGAAATATAACCAACATAGAGGCCAATATGAAACTTTATATGGATAAATGTCCATTAATCGTTCAATTCTCATCTTCCACATCATTTTACTGCTGTGGCCTCAAAGCCCCTCATCTAATTGTGAGATGAGGGGCTGCAGTAGAGAGTATAAGCCTGCATTACCCTACCCTGGTCACTCTGGTATAAATAAATAAATAAATAAATAAATAAATAATATAATGCTCTCAAACCTACCTGACTCCCATCTTGCAGTCCATAATGACTGGTCTCCTCAGGCCGCTCAACAGGTCCTCTAGGCGGATGTAGCAAAGATCCCCCCTGGTGTCCAGACCATAGTACTGCGGGACAAAGGGTCTCAACGGGTCTCTCATCAAGCAGTCCAGGCAGTTTGCCTCCACTTCACTGTACAGTTTTAACACCTCCCCTCCTTCACTTAGCTGGAAGTTCCCTGGTAACAGCATGAAAGGGACAAATAATAATTAGTTATCTATGGTTTTTAATAAAGCAAGAAGGCTGCCTGTGAATGTCATCTGAACTCAAGACCACACTTCCAATTTGAGAGGTCTATTCTAAAACACACTGAATTTATGATGGTCCAACATGACAAAAGTTTAGAGTTTAGATTCATTTGTATATCTGATCACAGTAGAATAAGCTGAACTGTAACATGCCTTGATGTCCAGCCAGCTGGACCCAGGAGCTCTGACGCCGCAGCGACCAGTGCATCATGGTCAGGTAGGTTTTCCAGGTGCGGCACTGAGGTACAACAGAAGAGCAGATTATTGTGTGCTATCTTCATGTGATGCAATCATTCAGAAGGGAATCTGTATGCTGTTCCTGTCCACTGCATTACTGTCTGAAGTTATGGAGCCTGGGGCCTATATCCCAGCATGCATTGTTTTCTAAGAGGCAGGTTGCATGTTTGACAAGTCA